AATAGTATTGGGAAAAGTTGATTGTAATTGCGATTATGTCGAATGTAATTGAGAAAAGTTGAGTGTAATTGCGAATATATCATATGCAATTGGGGATAATCAAATGAAATTTGGAATCTATCAAATGTAGTTGTGAATCAATCAAATATAATTAAGATATTATCAAATAATTTCTCTGTCGACTCTTTCTCGTCATCGTCGATCTGCATATAGCACAATTATCGCGAAATTCCATTTTTGTGTCGGCTTTCTTGGACACAAAACTATCCATATGTATATGTAAACAAAAGCTTTCTCCAACAACAGACTTAGTTATTTTAGCAACAACATACCTACAGATTTTGATTAAAAAATTAAAAGGCTCAATTTCATCTGATTTATTATTAATTTTTTTTACTACTAACCTGAGAAATAGACATTCAATCTATTTTTCTAAGAAAAAATTGAATTTCTCTCCCTAGGTTAATAATGAAAATAATGAAAAAATACCTAGGTCAATAATGAAAATGACGTCATGACTCAAGGATCTTGTCATGTTTCTATTGGTTCAATTTCAATTTCATGCGTCAATTTGAAAAAAAATATAGGTTTCTGTAGGTACATAGGAAGTTATATAAGCTGTTGATAGAGGGCACCACTTTCAAGAGGGCGTTCACAAAAAATAATTAGAACACAGATTTTAAACAAATTTTTTTATTTTCTACTAGCAGTAGTGAAAAAAATTCTATATATTCCTCGGTAGAGAAAGTCATTATATACCTCAAGCATTATAAACCTCGGCGCTGCGCGCCTCGGTTTATAAAAGCTTTTGGTATATGACCAACTTCTCTACCTAGGTATATAATATACTATTATTTGATTATCCCCAATTACATATGACATATTCATATATAATATCACAAGAGAAAAAATTTTGTCGGCAAAATTTTCGAAAGGTAGGTATAAAAGTTTGTTGCTTTTCGGCAATTTCGCAAATGACATTTTTGACAAAATCACTCGCCTGACGGCTCGTGATTTTGTCAAAAATGTCATGAGCGAAGTTGCCGAAAAGCAACAAACTTGAATAAAACAACGATAAAACGTTGAGAGCACTTTTGTCTACACAATTTTTTCTCGAGTGGTATTCGTCATGACTACTCATGACTATTTCACGTAAGATTTTGAAAATAAATAGAATGCAAAAATATGAATAAAAGCTTCAAATTAAAAATATCAGTTTGACAATGTCAAAAAATGGTCACTGAAATACCATGTTGTTGGTATTGTCCAGGTATAGTTGTAATCGCGATAGAAAGTGAAGTTGACAGTTCGTGTTGATATTTTTTAGTAACTTTTTCTTTAGGTTGCCATCATGCGTTAGCGCTTCGATTCCGTCAGGTGGGATTAACGACAGGGTCGTATTTAGAAAAGTGATATACATTTCAGAACTAAAATTTATTTTCAATTTATTTTAAGGAAGTTAAGTTATTAAAATCCTGCATAGTAATAATAAACATCTGTAATAGAACAAACGTAATACTTTATAATAGTCTCAAGGACTTTTCTGCCATCGCTAATGCCAAAATCAGCGCTTAAAATCGTAATATTGTGTGAGTATCAAAATAAACCAGATAATGATAAGAGTGTTAAAAGAGTCCACAGTAAACAGTTATTGACAGAGTAAACAGTTAAATCCAAACTAAAACCAGGTTGAAACGTAACACCGAAACACAAAGGCACAGAACACTACATAAAAAACCAAAAAACCTATTGCAAATATGACAAAATATCAAAAAATAATGCAGAAAATGGCAAAAAACTGAAAGGATTTCACTCACAGATTATTTCACTGCAGAAAAATTCAAAATTCAAAGATCTGAATGTGATATTTTTACATGTCAAATCGAAATGTCATGTATCATAATTTGATGGTTGACAGAAAAAGGGACAGAACTGGGGGTTTTATTTATTTTCAACTGGTGAAAATAACGGTCAAAATTCAAACTCTATCGTGAATTAGTCTATAGCAATATTGTCAGCTGAATTGCGAATTTAGTGCCGGTGTAATACACTCTAGTGAAATAGTCGCAATTACACTTAACTATTCTCAATAACATTTGATGTGTTCGCAATTACGTTTAACTTTTCCCAATAACATTTAATATATTTCGCACTATCAACTGACTATTCTCAATAAGATTTGATTTATTCGCAATATTCTTCCACTATTCCTAAAATTAAGTGATATATTCGCAATTACACATGGAAAAGGTGTAGTTTCAATTTTCTAGATTTTCACCTATCCTAGATGGATGCTAAATACCGAGCCAAATACGCAAATATTTGTGAGGAACTGCAAAGGCGTGTGAAATTTCGTATTTTTTCATATTTTCGTCTTCTAGATGGAATCCGAAATAGAGTTGCAATTTTCTGAAGTCGCTGATGGTGAACTTGGTTTGTTCCTTTAACATAAATCAAATGATTTTTATCCAGTTTCTAGAAGATGGAACTGCAGGATTTTGGAATCCTATTTTCTTCAAGACATGTTGAAATGCTTCCTTGAGTGTTTCTCTTTTTCAACTTTCAACAGCTTGATTTGCTCTTCCTTCAATATCTCGATTTGTTCGTTCATCATCAATCAAATAATTTTTATCTAGTTTCTAGAAGATGAAACTTCAGTTTTTGCAGGATTTTGGAATCCTTTTTTTTCCGAGACAGGTTGGAATACCTGCCTGAGTGTCTGCTTTTTTCAACTTTCAACATCTTGATTTGCTCTTTTTTTAACATTTCGATTTGGTTCTTCAAAATCAATCAAATGATTTTTATCCAGTTTCTAGGAGATTGAACTTGAGTTTTACAGGATTTTGGAATCCTTTTTTCTTCGAGGCATGTTGAAATGCCTCCTCGAGTGTTTCTCTTTTTCAACTTTCAACATCTTGATTTGCTCTTCTTTTAATATCTCGATTTGCTCCTTCAACATCAATCAAATGATTTTTATCCGGTTTCTTGATGATGGAACTTGAGTTTTTGCAGGATTTTGGAATCCTTTTTTCTTCGAGGCATGTTGAAATGCCTCCTCGAGTGTTTCTCTTTTTCAACTTTCAACATCTTGATTTGCTCTTCTTTTAACATCTCGATTTGTTCCTTCAACATCAATCAAATGATTTTTATCCAGATTCTAGAAAATAGAGCTTGAGTTTTGCAGGATTTCGGAATCCTTTTTTCTTCGAGGCATGTTGAAATGCCTCCTTGAGTGTTTCTCTTTCTCAACTTTCAACATCTTGATTTGCTCTTCTTTTAACATCTCGATTTGTTATTGAGTTCAAGTCTCGGATATACTTGGAAATCGAAATAAATTCCTGGTATTAAGTGGTAATTTCAGTGGCAATTAATGGTAATGACAGTGGTAATTAATGGTATTGACAGTGGTAATTAGTGGTATTTAGCGGAAATAAGAGGTAATAAGGGGTAATTTGAGTGGCATTGAGTGGTAATTCCTGAGGCAATGAAAGGTAATAGAGGAAAAAAGTGGTAATTTAGAGGCAGTTACTGGTAATTTGTGGTAATTTCTGTCAGAAGTGGTAATTTAGTGTACACAGTTCCACTACTGAAATCCCCCTCGTTTTTTATCCACTAATGAAATCATGAGCGATAAAAAAAATTGATGCAAGTTCCGTATTGTGAACCAAAATGTCCCCCCTGATTACTCATCCACGAGCCGCCACTGTCTCAGACACATTCTCAATGACCATTTTCGGCTATACTTCCAGGGAAGTAAGTAAGCATTACGGTTGCCAAGGTATTAATATCTTTAGATACCAATATTGTAAGGTAAGTATTACCGATGAATTTGGGATATGGGCATTTATGAATAATCACGTAAGCGAATTTTGTAACATTTTGTATAACGAAACACCAGAAGCTCGCGAGGCTATATGTGTGATAGATGCTATATGTTATCAAAATTGAGAAAATCGCAACTTTCAAGTAGGTACCTACTTTAGCGATCATTTTCTATACACAAACAGTTTCACCCTCACCGACAATATTTTGCTCCCCATGGATAAATTTTAGCAATGCATACTTTTCAGACAGCCGTAACAACGATGCAGCTGCTCTTTTACACGAATTCAATCAAGATGGTGGCTGAAACAAGAGACTGGTTTGAAGAAGAAGACATGTCTGTATTAGACCGAGGTTACAGGGATGCCGAAGGAGTTTGGAGATCAAAAATTCGAAATAAAAATAGGTATACGCTAAAATAGGTATCCAAATGTTTTCAGGAATTAGAATAAACTTCCGTCGTCGCAACACTACCAAGTACCAGCTGGCTATAACATAATATATGATCAAGATCCAAATGTTTAATATCTGGACTGGATACTATTGCACGTGACTAGTGTACCTACTATGGTTTTTAGGATATGTGTATTACATACAATATTTGAGTTCGGATAGATTGCTTGCTAAAATATTTTTTAAAGTATTTTTCGAGATATTCAAGAGAATCTACAAAGGGATATTTCCTATGCATAGCAGGACCTAAAGTTTGTTTCGCCAGGGTTTGTATTTGCCTTCCTTGTTTAACAAATGAAAATTGACTGAAACAAATCAATGACGTCAAAAACGTTCGTCGGTTCTTAAACCAGAAGTCATTCCTTTCAATTTGTCAAAAAATTGAATATGTCAGATGAATTAATCTACGACAACCCTTTTTTTCAAGTTTCAAGGTCAAGTATGAACCCTGGTGAAACGGACCTTACGTACTTTTGATAGGCTATATCTGCTATCACAGACATAGGATCCTTTTTTTCGGCAATGATGATACCTTTAACATGCCAAGATTTGGTTGGGGGCCTATTTTCAAGGTTATTCGCGCCTCTTTCTTTACACTAGCAATAAAATTGCAGCGAGAAAAATAAAGAACTGTAAAATAGCCCTTAGAAAACCTGGTTCCTACTTACCGGAAAATATATTTCCAATAAATAGCAAATAAAACGTTCCCTGAAGCATTTTTAAACGTATGGGTTTTAATTTTTCATTATCTTCGCTGACTTTTGCAGCTCTTTTTGTTTCAATTTTCGTCGTAGGGACGTTATTTTCAAGAGTTTCGTCGATAGAACTCTCCTTTTGTTTGCCCAGGTTCTCGTATTCGTTTTCAGTCATTTTAGTTATGATGCCTGCTTCAAATATTGCCATGAGACTATAATTTAGAGAAATAAAACATGGACATCGATTATATTGAATCAATATTACATTTTATTTACTTCTTCAACGTAGGGACACCCCAGCTGTAGAGCTATAGCCGAGTAGGCAGTATTTAATTTTTCGCTTAAATGAAAGTTTTTCGGCCCGAAACGCTGAATATCGAAAAATAACGTTTCACGACCAGCCATTACAGCAACATCCAATTTATCCTTTACCATTTTTACGCCTTCTTCTACTGATTCAACTACATACTCATTTTGCCTTCTTTCCATAATCTCCCATAATTGGCCATAGATTCCTGTTCCATTCTAAAAAATAAATGATGAATTTTTTCCTAGAATCAATCAATACAAAATAGTACAGCCCTCACCAGATTGCACAAAAATAAGAAAAGATCTCTTTTTGTGATTACCCAAGATACGGCTAGTCGCCAGTATCTAGTTAGTTGCAAAAGAAAATGAAACAACTTTAGACCAGGCAAATTTTATTTTTTTAATGAAGTTCAAGGGGACAGTTTTTTCCAATGGAAATCGATGTATTACATGTCCAGGGACAAATATATAAAAATCCCAAAAAATCCATTGTGAGCTTAACACGCCATCTTGAAAAAGTATGGCCGTCCGTAAAAATCTTTAAAAATCAAATATCTTCTTGTCTCTTGGAGCAATTTTAACATTTTTTTTTTTCAGGAATTTTGAGCTTTAAATTACAAAAAAATTAACAAAACAAAAACTCAATCATTGAAAAGATCCTCGTCTAAAACACAAGCATATTTGAAATCTATTCCATGGCAGTGAAGGCATATAGACCTGCAGCAGCCGACTTGTGAACATACAAATTTTTTTTGTCATCAGTTTAAAATAAAACGGTCGAGCGGTTTTTGATTAAACACCTGAGAAAAACTTGGGTGGGACATTTTTTGTGCCCCACTCTATATATACAGGGTGTTCCACAAAGTTTTACCCAGGTGATAGTTTAGGGCCGCGTCATCGAATGTTCCATTTTGTAATTTTTCATCATTTTCTTCAACAAAGCCTTGGCAAATATGCCATTGCTGATTTTGTAATCGAATTTTCTAACGAAAAATGATATAATACCATCAGTTACATTCAAGATTCTAAAGTTGCCGCCACTTGACCAAAACTGAAGCGAAAGTGAAATTGGATGCATGACGCATGTAGAAGCGGCACAAAAAGTTACCCAGATCCTCAAAGTTTCAATTATATTGGATCACGCGTTCCGAAGTTATTACCTGGGTAAAACGTCATGGGACACCTTGTGTATACAGGGCGGAGCACGACAAAACTACCAGGTTTTCTCAGATGTAAGGTGAATAATCAAAAATCAATCGCCCATTTTAATGGTATTTTCATCCCTCTACCTGTCAGCCTCTAAGCGGGGGAGCCAAAAACTTCAAATAGAAAGGGGGGTCGAGTGATTTGATGGAAAGTTTTTATTAAGAATATATCCTCGAAATTTTAAGTTGCGGCAGGGTAAATATTCCCTGACGAAAAGGCGAGTCGTCAAAGTTAAGAAATATGTAGTACATATCAGTCGAACCCCCTTTCCATTTGAAATTTGACGGGTAAAGGGTGAAAATATCAGGTCTTCAAAAAAAAAAAAAAAAAAACAAGCAACGATTGCTATCTATGATTTTTTAAACGTACGTCGCATTATTGTTCCTCTATTGGTCAGAATTTTTGACATGATATTTTGACATTAAAGCTCATGAACAAAATTGAAGAAAAATACGTTTAAAAAACCATAGCAATCTTTGATTGTATTTTTTTTTGAAGACCCGATACCAATAAAATGTGTTCCGCAAAAAACAAAAAATGGGAGATGGCTCCACATCCAAATTTGTTTATAATCATATTACATCGGTCTACCTCTGTGCCAAATTTGGTTCCTTTATCAAAAAGTGCACAATGGGTTAGCTTATCCGCTGTACTATACATATAGTTCTTATACCTAATAGCTGTGTTTACAATTAAGGTGTTCGCATCTTCAGTAGCTTCTAACGTTGCAATACTGTTTTCTCTAAATCGTTTTCTAATAGCCGTTTCCACCAATTATTTTAGGGGAGCCTTAACGATAAGTATTCCTTAAACTGCCATTTGTCCATGGAGAACTGTCAGTTTAGGGAATACTTATCGTTAAGGCTTCCCTTAAATAGTTGGTGGAAACGGCCATAAGTATACATGGCCTAAAAAATCTGCAAATGGTGGTAGCAGCAAATAATTTTTCCTAAATTTTCAGGACATATTATCTTCAAGTACAGGAATGTATGAGAAATCTCCTATAGCGTTTTTCATTTTTTTTTTGTCAGGAAATTTATAGTCTTGGTTATATCTAAAATCAAAGTTCTTTTTTTTTTGTCATTTTAAGCTCAAAATTCCGTGAAAATAAAAAAAAATGTTAAAATTGATCCAAGGGACAAGAAGATAATTAATTTTTCGAGATTTGAACGGACGGCCATGTTTTTCAAGATAGCGTTTTTAGCTCACTTCCGATTTTTTGGGATTTTTAGATTTGTATTCTATGATAAGAGAGCTATCGTTTTCAACAAAAAAATAACTGTCCGCAAAAACTTCACATTCATCGTAAATGTTTTTGAAATTTGCCTGGTCTACTTTGGTGTATTATTACACTTCGTAGCGACACTTTTTTATTTCTATTTTTTTCCGGAAGATGACTCGCGCTCCGATAAGGCAAAAATTCGTCGTCAAGGGTCATGTTGAGATTCTTCATTTCAAATTTGCAGGAAGTGTTTCTTCATGTTTCTTGTTGGTCCACCGCGAGCGCTGCCAGAAACAAAGCGCAGCAGGCGCGAAATTTTTGGATGCCAGGCCCTTTTTTTGGGTCTTTTCACGGTATTTTTGGGTGTGTTTATTTTAATTTTGATGAATTGTACTACATAAAATTTAAAGGTCTTGGGAGGGACTACCCCACCATTGACCAGATTGTTTTCGAGCAACATGTGTAATACTACACAAACCAAGGCCATTGAGTCTAAATGGAAGTCCCCCGGCATGGACTCGGAAAAAATTAAAGAAACCAAAAACCAATGAACCATAGATATCCTACATGTACCTGGAACGGGCACGCCCATCTTGAGGCAAATAGAGATGGAGGCATGTGACGGATACTTATCTCTTTTCATCTTATTGATTCTAATGGCGAATTTTGGAAATATTATTATTTGAGGTTGAGGTAAAAATTCCCTATAATACAGTTTTCTTTTAATTCACCAAACCTACAGAGTGGGTATGGTATGACAGAGAAAGGTAGCCGTCACAAAAAATTGTTGAAATGGATACACAAACACCAGTATTTGACAACGGTCGGGATCGTTCTAGGTACGTGTATTATATAGTTTATTGCCAAAAACATTGAATGACCAAATATGTGCAAATGAAAGCTAGGTAAAAAAGAAAGCCTGAAGTCTGAAGTAATAGTCGGCGCTGGAAAAAAATTTAAGAATCTCATGAAAGCTGAAAATTTAATTTAAGCTTGTATTTGTGATGTAAAGATTCCCATTCGAAGTTTGTTTGATATACCCTCCGGAGCACCTGCTCCAATGGGTGGTATGAATTAAAAGGAAGTACGTGCTACTACTACAAGTATTAGTATATTCTTCGCAGTATTTACTTCACAAAGAAGCGTTTACTAATTTTTGGTAGTGTCGAAATGTAGTATCTACTCCGTTTTGGAGTAAATACTACGTAGAACATACTACATACTAATACCTCGTAGGTTGTAACATTATGGAGCTGCAGATTGGGAAGGTCTAAAACTCTTTTTCCCGACGTTTCTGTGGTCCGATGTTTGCTTTAAATCCATCGATCCCTGCGGGACTGCATAAGAGGTTACCGAAATCATTTTCTTAGGTATGGAATTGTAAATTTTAGACTACAATAGCCCCGAGCAGTTACAAAAAAGAACACCGCATATCGTGCCTGGCGTAGAAACCAATGCGAATAATCTCGATCGTCCTTTACGACAGCTACGTCAAGTTAGCCCCCCATAACCGAATTTAATAACTTTTTTGGTAGAAATCAATTGTGCTAGAATTGTGCTGAATTCTGCTGTCAATATTAGGAATTGTGCTATTTTGGTAACTGAGTTATTTACAAAATGGTAGAGGGGGGATAACTTGACGCTCAGCCCCCCATTTTTTAAAATTTTTAATTGAAAAAAAGTGGGTTTCTTGAGAATCGGAATTGTGCTGCACATATTTTCCTTCATTCTTTATTCCATCACCCCATTTTTTGTTTGAATATTTGTGCGGGGCTAACTTGACGCTTCTTTCTTCCTACCTTAAGTTAAGGTCAATAATTCCATTGTAGTATCGTCAAAGGCCAAAAGCTAAAGCAGATCTCTTTGCCAAACAATTTCCATCCAATTCCACGATGGAGGACAATGGCAGAGCGCCACAGGTACAGGGTGCTTCAAATTCGAGCCACATTATTGGGATCTCGGAAACGGTGAGAGATACAGGATTGGTTAAATTGGGGCAAAGTTGCGTGATTTGATGCTGTGATGGCTATGATAAAGTGATATTTTTTTTTTTGAAATATCACTTCAAATAAAGTCAGGAAAAAATGAAAACAATTTTACAAAATTTCAGTCTTTTTCGGAAGTATTCGGAATATCCTAAATATCAAAGCGGTATTATGTTAATTATCAAATTACGCAACTTTGCCCTTTATCTTTGACCGTTTCCGAGATCCCAATGATGTGGCTCGAATTTGTACTGCCACACATTGGTTATTACATGCACAACGTTGGATTTAACCCTAAAACTATTATGAAAATTCTTCTGCAACTTGAGCTGGAAAAGCTTGTGGTCCCTACGACATTCCATCAATTGTCCTAAAACCAAATAACAGTCTCACATATAAACAAACAGTTTGGATTTAGACAAAGCCTGTTACACTTCAACCACAAACGCTAGCCGGAACCGAATGGAACCAACTTGCACAGACACATCAGCTCAAGAACCTAACCATGTACCTATTTAAATATTGAAGTAGATATTGTAACCAAGAAATATAAAAATAAATTAATAATAAGAGAGAAACCAGAGCGCGCGATAAAAAAGGGAAAAAAGGTTCTCTCACCTTTTTTTTAATATTTCCTGTTGGAAAGCGGAATTGTTTTTTTTTTTTTGAATTTTTGAAGTAGGTACTGTTTGTTTCACGAGGGTTTGTACTTTTGCCTTCTTCTTTAACAAATAAAAATTGACTGAAACAAATTAATGACGTCAAAAACGTTCGTGGGTTTCCAAACCAGAAGTCATTCAATA